TCAACAATAGTGAATTTACTCTGTATTAAAATGATGATGGTCCAGGATCAACATTAGTGAATTTACACTGTATTTAAATGATGATGGTCCAGGATCAACACTAGTGAATTTACACTGTATTTTAATGATGATGATGATGATGATCCAGGATCAACAACAGTGAATTTACACTGTATTTAAATGATGATGATGGTCCAGGATCAACAATAGTGAATTTACACTGTATTTAAAAGATGATGGTCCAGGATCAACAATAGTGAATTTACACTGTATTTAAAAGATGATGATGGCCCAGGATCAACAATAGTGAAATTACACTGTATTTAAATGATGATGGTCCAGGATCAACATTAGTGAATTTACACTGTATTAAAAAGATGATGATGATCCAGGATCAACATTAGTGAATTTACACTGTATTTAAATGATGATGATCCAGGATCAACATTAGTGAATTTACACTGTATTTAAATGATGATGATGGTCCAGGATCAACATTAATGAATTTACACTGTATTAAATGATGATGATGGTCCAGGATCAACAATAGTGAATTTACACTGTATTTAAATGATGATGATGATGGTCCAGGATCAACAATAGTGAATTTACACTGTATTTAAATGTTTATGATGGTCCAGGATCAACATTAGTGAATTTACACTGTATTTAAATGATGATGGTCCAGGATCAACATTAGTGAATTTACACTGTATTTAAATGATGATGGTCCAGGATCAACAATAATGAATTTACACTGTATTTAAATGTTTATGATGGTCCAGGATCAACAATAGTGAATTTACACTGTATTTAAATGATGATGATGGTCCAGGATCAACAGTAATGAATTTACACTGTATTTAAATGATGATGGTCCAGGATCAACAATAGTGAATTTACACTGTATTTAAATGATGATGATCCAGGATCAACAATAGTGAATTTACACTGTATTTAAATGATGATGATGATCCAGGATCAACAATAGTGAATTTACACTGTATTTAAATGATGATGATGATCCAGGATCAACAATAGTGAATTTACACTGTATTTAAATGATGATGATGATCCAGGATCAACAATAGTGAATTTACACTGTATTTAAATGATGATGATGGTCCAGGATCAACAATAGTGAATTTACACTGTATTTAAATGATGATGATGGTCCAGGATCAACAATAATGATTTTACACTGTATTTAAATGATGATGATGATCCAGGATCTACATTAGTGAACTTACACTGTATTTAAATGATGATGATGATCCAGGATCAACAATAGTGAATTTACACTGTATTTAAATGATGATGATGGTCCAGGATCAACAATAATGATTTTACACTGTATTTAAATGATGATGGTCCAGGATCAACATTAGTGAATTTACACTGTATTTAAATGATGATGGTCCAGGATCAACAATAGTGAATTTACACTGTATTTAAATGATGATGGTCCAGGATCAACAATAGTGAATTTACACTGTATTTAAATGATGATGATGGTCCAGGATCAACAATAATGATTTTACACTGTATTTAAATGACGATGGTCCAGGATCAACAATAGTGAATTTACACTGTATTTAAATGATGATGATGGTCCAGGATCAACAATAGTGAATTTACACTATATTTAAATGATGATGGTCCAGGATCAACAATAGTGAATTTACACTGTATTTAAATGATGATGGTCCAGGATCAACAATAGTGAATTTACACTGTATTTAAATGATGATGGTCCAGGATCAACAATAGTGAATTTACACTATATTTAAATGATGATGATGGTCCAGGATCAACAATAGTGAATTTACACTGTATTTAAATGATGATGATGGTCCAGGATCAACAATAATGATTTTACACTGTATTTAAATGATGATGATGGTCCAGGATCAACATTAGTGAATTTACACTGTATTTAAATGATGATGGTCCAGGATCAACAATAGTGAATTTACACTATATTTTAATGATGATGGTCCAGGATCAACAATAATGATTTTACACTGTATTTAAATGATGATGGTCCAGGATCAACATTAGTGAATTTACACTGTATTTAAATGATGATGGTCCAGGATCAACAATAGTGAATTTACACTGTATTTAAATGATGATGATGATCCAGGATCAACAATAGTGAATTTATACTGTATTTAAATGATGATGATGATCCAGGATCAACAATAGTGAATTTACACTGTATTTAAATGATGATGATGGTCCAGGATCAACAATAGTGAATTTACACTGTATTTAAATGATGATGATGGTCCAGGATCAACAATAGTGAATTTACACTGTATTTAAATGATGATGATCCAGGATCAACAATAGTGAATTTGCACTGTATTTAAATGATGATGATGGTCCGGGATCAACAATAGTGAATTTACACTGTATTTAAATGATGATGATGGTCCAGGATCAACATTAGTGAATTTACACTGTATTAAAAAGATGATGATGATCCAGGATCAACAATAGTGAATTTACACTGTATTTAAATGATGATGGTCCAGGATCAACAATAGTGAATTTACACTGTATTTAAATGATGATGATGGTCCAGGATCAACAAAAGTGAATTTACACTGTATTTAAATGATGATGATGGTCCAGGATCAACAATAGTGAACTTACACTGTATTTAAATGATGATGATGGTCCAGGATCAACAAAAGTGAATTTACACTGTATTTAAATGATGATGATGGTCCAGGATCAACAATAGTGAATTTACACTGTATTTAAATGATGATGATGATCCAGGATCAACAATAGTGAATTTACACTGTATTTAAATGATGATGGTTCAGGATCAACAATAGTGAATTTACACTATATTTAAATGATGATGATGGTCCAGGATCAACAATAATGATTTTACACTGTATTTAAATGATGATGATGGTCCAGGATCAACAATAGTGAATTTACACTGTATTAAAATGATGATGATGATCCAGGATCAACAATAATGATTTTACACTGTATTTAAATGATGATGGTCCAGGATCAACAATAGTGAATTTACACTGTATTTAAATGATGATGATGGTCCAGGATCAACATGAGTGAATTTACACTGTATTTAAATGTATATTATAATGAAACAATATTTCATCAATATTTTATAATAACACCAAAATGGGATGTTTTTTCATGGCTTATATATTCATCTTGGCTTAACAAGGCTTGAACAGTGTGTGTACATTTAGTGTACATCAGTTTCTTCATATAATCTCAAATGTCAGTGGCAGTGTTTACCTGCTGGGGATTCTTGTCAGAGATTCCCTCATTCTCCTAGATGTGAGTGAAGGTAGAGATGGAGCCCCACTTTCACCAGGGGTCGGAAACAATCTGTCAACAACGTAGCACTCATTAATTCATGTTTAATATCAGACATTCTCAAATAATCCCAATTTGTTCTAAAGTAGGGTTGTTTAGTGTAATTAAGCCTTTTAAAGGGATGGTTTACACAAAAATGAAACTTTAGTCATCATTTACTCACCCTTTACTCGTTTTAAAAACATTTGACTTTCTTTTTTCTGTTGAAAGAAGGATATTTTGAAGAAATACTTCACTTAAGGCTTCCTTAGTATTTGTTTTGGAAGATAAGGTTACCAACATTCTTCAAAATATCTTATTTAGTATTACACAGAAAGAAAGAAACTCAAGGTTTGAAACAAAATGAGGTTGAGTAAATAATGAGTAAACATCCTTTTTGGTGTTAACTATGCCTTTAGGCCTTCTTATTTAGCACAGTTATGCATATAAAAGATCCCAATATACATGAAGTTCTTAATACAGTTCTTTTTTTTGTTCACTTAGAGGCAAAACATTAAACATCGTCAACCTCTTTCTTTGATCAATGGAAGCTACGTTTGACTAGAAATGTTAATTCTGAGGAAAGCATGTGTGGTTCGTCTCCTGCCAGATCAAATCCTGTAATCAAATCAAGCTTAAAGTACTCTGGAAGTGGACCTCACCTAGCCAGAGTAGCAGCAGGCGGTGCACATCGTGCTGAAGTCATTCATTAACATTACTTGGCAACCAGCACTAAGAACCAGTGACCCATCTTTCCCCAGAAATAACTGACTGAATAGGGAAATAAGCTCTGTGTGCACGGCCAAAATGACTTCCTAAGACAAATCTCATTTAAAAATAGACTGTATGGTAGCAACAGACTTGTTGGCAAAAAACAACATATGGAATATGGAAAAAAAACAACAGTGGCCTCTTTTATATCTTTTCTTTGGTTATTTACTCATTCCAATACACCCAAACTCCTCTGATTTTATTTTCCATTGCATCAGCCTTCAGTGGTGACACTTGTATTAAACTGAATTAGGAATGCACAATATATCGGTGGCCATATTGTTATTGGCCGATAAATGCTATTTTTAAGATTATCGTCCACGGTCTGGTGTCAAAATTAGGCCGATATCTTTAAGCCGATAAGTTACGTAATTGTACAGAACTGCCTGTCTCGCCCACGTGTGGGCAGAACTTGTTTAGACTTGTCCAGTGCACTATAATGAAGCTCTTCTCACATTGTTTATTACTTCAAAGTCCGTCCTTTCTTCATGTGGTGTTGCTGTGCATTAATAACTCAGTAAGTAGCCATGTTCCTTATCATTGTAGATATGTTTGATTGAGTGTCATTGTGTATTTTGGTTTAAATCCCCTCAGGAAAAAAATATTACATGTGTAAACAAAACAGTAGCAATGCACACATGCTAAACAACTCGTTGGGTTGTTTGTAATCTACTAAGATTGTTTGTTCTTATCAACGCGTTGCCATGTGTTGTTGATGTAAGATTGTATTCAGTTTGATTGGAATATTCATATTGATTATAAGGAGCGTGCATGAGGGTTGTCACCGCACACACACACACACACACTGATCTGACAACCTTCACACAGCAGCAGGGGGGAGGTGAATCCAGTGTAGGGGCTCTAAACTCACCGCCTGTCTGTCTTTATATTATGTTCTGTGTTTGTCTGTAAAGTTATCTGCTCAACGCTCAGGTTTTGTATCAAAATCTGACTCCGAGGGCAAATCTGCACCCTTAATCATAAATCTGCCGTTTATCATAAACTTTTCATCAATCATTTTTCCTGCAATGAAGCGTTGTCTGATTGACAAGCAGCAGCTACATGTGTTCAAAAGAATCTAAAACGCCAAGTAGGAAGAATCTATGCCGCATTTTTTAAAGTAATACTATCTGTATTTAGCTTTTCGCTTGTATGGTGGCTCTGAACTGTCAAAACACCTCTAAAAAAGGCTTTTTCGGACATTACATATTTGTACACATGTACATCACTGTAACACGGTTTATTCAAGAAAATGTTAGCTGGTTTTAGTCCTTAGCTCTTTCGTTTTCATTCATTCATTCATTTTCTTTTCGGCTTAGTCCCTTTACTAATCCGGAGTCGCCACAGCGGAATAACTGCCAACTTACCCAGCATGTTTTTTTACGCAGTGGATGCCCTTCCAGCTGTAACCCATGTCTGGGAAACTTCCACACACACTCATTCACACTCAAACACTATGGACAATTTAGCCGATCAAATTCACCTGTACCGCATGTCTTTGGACTGTGGGGGAAACCAGAGCACCCGGAGGAAACCCACGCGAACACAGGGAGAACATGCAAACTCCACACAGAAACGCCAACTGACCCAGCCGAGGCTTGAACCAGTGACCGTCTAGCTGTGAGGCGACAGCCCTGCCTACTGCGCCACTGCGTCGCCCTCTTTCATTTTTTTTATTTTATTTAAAATTCATTTAACTTGCTTGTTGCATAAAAATAACCTATTATTTTTATGCAACAGTCAAGTTGCCTGTTAATTTGCTATGAAGAAAAGTGTTGTGCACTACTGGGCCACCATACAGTCTACATAGTGAAAGCGATAGAAAAAAAGATGAATTTAATATAATTTAATTGAAACTGATGTGAACATTTTGGAGCTTTCCTCAGCAAAATGATATGAATATTGCAGTTAATCTTATCTAAAATCAAATCGATTGTTTATTAATGGACAGTAAATCTTGAGAAAACAATCGCTGAATCAATTTTACAAAAGCGATTCCTAAAAAAAAAACTCATGAAACTCATAGAAGAGAGACTCACAGAAGTTGTCTGATGTTAGTCCAGTCTACACACATAGTGGGCACTTTTGTGCTGCAGTGTTCATGGAACTTGTAACCACATCTTTGGCACCGGAAACCATTCAGCAGGAACTTCTGGCATATGTCGCAGAAAGCCAACTTGAGAAATGTTTTTCTAACCTGAAAAGAAAATAAAATATATACAGGAACCTCAGTGCTTTAACTATGAAAAGAGATGGTCAAGACAGATAAAATGTAGGCACAAACAACTGTAGCACTCACAAAATTGTGTGTTGTTAAAGGAACATGGTCTAAAACCTCCACGAGAAGTTCCTCCCCAATGAGTGAGGTAGAGTCTGTGCTCCACTCCATGCGAGACTTCTTGCTGCAAACATAAAACAGACATTAGCTCAGGAGATGAAGCTAGAGCAGTTTGTTGAATCATTGTGCACGCTGTTAGTTTAAATTCAATTATATGTGCCTCTGACTGGAACCAAATCTAAATGACTTACTGTTCACACTGTGTATGGTAAATGTTTATCTGATGTGTGTCCCGAGTAGTTATTCATATTAATGACTGGACTGCTCACAGCATTCATAACTGCCAACAGGCCATGAAGTCACACGGAATTAATTATTAGGATACTGAGACTACAGTTTGCACAGGCTCATTAAAATTGGACAATAGATAATGCTGCTTTGATTGAGTATCAGTTTCCGCTGTGACATCTGAATGGTTGTGCAGGGTCAGAATTTGTCATAAACAAATCTTGTCTGGTACCTTTTATTAGTGGTTCTGAAGATGATGGTTTAACTGCGTAACATGTTTTCATCCTGAAGACCGCAAGTACGGAGGACGCGTGAAACTTCCCGGATGTGTTCTTAATATCGAGGACGCACTGATGCAGACTTGAGCAGCGAACCCGCTCTGGAAGTCCCAGAAGTCGTTGCGACTGGAGGTGGGAAGCGCAGCATTTTATTTCGATTTATTATTAAAGTTCAGAGATATCACTTATTTACCTCAGGAGTTTCCCTAAATGAAACGGTGAAAGTAAACATTAATATGGACATCTTAATAAAGGAATAAACACATTAAGGGTGTTTGTTTGCTGAAATTCGTATTAAAATCTGTTTTATTTATATTGTGCAGAGTATATTTATAATGTTTTTATGCACAGTATATATTTTGAAGAGGGGAGAAACAGTAAACCGTTGTGTGACTGCTGTAATGTTTAAATAATTTACTATTTAAAACACGTGAAGGTCATGTGACCATCAGGAAGAACGCAGCATCCCATTTGTCAAAGGACGCATTCTCTGCCCTCGCGGTCTCCTGAGTTCGTTCTTTCGAGGACACCAGGCAAGACCGCACTCCACAAGAATGCAAGTCCGTTCTCTGCGTTCTTGGAATTGAGAAACAGCCTACGTCTCACAGCCAAAAACAAGTCGTATATATTTTGTTATTAACTACATAACGAAAAAGAAGCCTTTAATGGGGTAGAAAATTTACATATTTGCTGACCTGGGTTTGAAGGGAATTAGTAAATTCTCCTCAACTTTCTTTTTTAATTTCTGTATGAAACGTCAAACAGACACTGGTGCTCCTGTCAAGCCTTCACTAGTTTTTCCTCCATTTCTCGGGTCCAAATAAACTAAAAATAAGCGTTTTTAACATCTCCCTCAACCTCCCGCTGGCCTGCAGGTACACACACTAGTGAATGCTGCTCTCTCATTGGCTGTAGGTGATCGACGATGTTATTTTCAGTCAGAACTCATTTCATCCGGCATGATTCGAATCGCCGACAGCTCCAGATATTCAGCACGCCAAATATCTTACAGGCATCGGCAACTCATCTGCGATTCTCTCAGAACGCATCTTTGATAGTTTATACTAGAGGTCTGCACTTCCACGGGACAGCCGCGGCACCCGACCAGGTTTCTGCGGCACGGGAACAAATTTCCGAATAAAGCGTGGGAGCGGTCGGTAACGGGTTTAATTTGGGACGGGAGCGGGCCGTCTAGCAATATCGCTCCCGACTCCCGAGCGAGCACGCGTATGTATGTGTGTAAATGAAATAGCGCGATGCTGTGTTTAGCTTGTTTGTTGCTGTGTGTGAGTATTGGTGTGTGTGCGCACGCGCGAATGAGAGGTGTGTGTGTGTGTTAGTGCGTGTGCGCGCGAATGAGAGAGAGAGAGAGAGAGCTTTGTCTGTGTGTGTGTGCTTGGTGCTTATGTGTTTGTGTATGTTTATGCAGACAGCTTGTTATAGGCTGTCTGGACTCTGTATAGCTGGGTGGTTTTCGGTTTTGTTCTCCACCCCGCTCTTTTGCGGGATCAGGCGCGGCGGGTAGAAAACAGGGCGGGTCAGGCAGCGGGACAACAAATGCTGAATGTAAGGGGAGCGGTCGGGTACGGGCTAAAACTTGGCGGGTGCGGGCGGAAGCGGGATTCAAAATTTAGTCCCGCGCAGATCTCTAGTTTATACTGTGTGATTGTCACTTACGTGCACGAGCACCGATTTCGGCAATTTCTCAAAACCTGTCAGCGAGTCAAAATCATGGCTAAAATCATGCAGTCTGAAATTGGCATTATGGTACAATCTTCCACATGAGATTAGAGTGACACCTTCGCTTATCATTACTAAACCACTTTTAAACACATATCTGTTCAATCTGGCTTATTAATATCATACGCATTCCTTTGTTTCGTATTATTAATCTGTTAATCTTCTGGATTTAAATTTTCCTGATTTTAAGTATTTTTTTCTCTACATGCAGTTTGGTGTTATGTGCAGTACTTTGGTCAGCCTGTGGCTGTTTTTAATGTGCTTTATAAATAAATGAACTTGACCTGACCTTCTCTGTCCAGGATGGAGACTGAAGACAGCACAGCACTCCGGCTGGAGTCCTCGAACCTTCAGCGCTTTGATCAGACAGCTGTGGAGCGTCATGCCTGGCCGCACATTCACCTTCAGAGGGAGCGTGGACATAAACACACACAAGACCATACACATGTACTGCTTTTAACTGCCTTTCACTTCCCATTCTTTTAAACATTACTACTTTTTTTTTTTACTTTAACTGCAGCAAGTGCTTGAAAGACAGCCTGAAAATGTCATCCTCCAAATCTTAAAATGGTATTTAAGGTGCCTCTTTTATGCATTTACTGATGGAAGTAGTTTGTAAATGTGAAAGTTCACAATAAATTAAGTCTACAATAAATTGAGATACTGTCTTCCGAAAGACTTAGCTTTACATCCTGCACAAACTTATAAAGATTGTAACAAAACTGCCTCATATCAGCGTTAGCATCAGTTTTACTGTCTGTATCAATGTCTATTTTGACCACTAAATGCTGCAGTTGTAGCTAATACCTATAAATTAAAGGCTTACCTAAGTCAATTAGTTAATAAGTTTAATAACCTTTAAATTACACTCACACACACACACACACAGTCAGAATTATTAGCCCCCTTTTGATTTTTTTTTTCTACATTAAATATCTAGTCAAATATTATTTACTGTCATCATGGCGAAGATATAATAAATCAGTTATTAGAAATGAGTTATTAAAACTATATATATATGCTTAGAAATATGTTGAAACAATCTTCTCTCCATTAAACAGAAATTGGGGAAAAATAAACAGGTGCCCAAATAATTCTGACTTCAACTGTATATATATATATATATATATATATATATATATATATATATATATATATATATATATATATATATATATATATATATATATATATATATATATACAGTTGAAGTCAGACTTATTAGCCCCCTTCGATTTTTTTTCTTCTTTTTAAAATATTTTTCAAACAATGTTTAACAGAGCAAGGAAATTTTCACAGTATGTCTGATAATATTTTTTCTTCTGGAGAAAGTCTTATTTGTTTAATTTCGGCTAGAATAAAAGCAGTTTTAATTTTTTAAACATCATTTTAGGGACAAACTTGTTAGCCCCTTTGAGCTATATTTTAGTTCGCTAGTCAACAGAACAAACCATCGTTATACAATAACTTGCCTAATTACTCTAACCTGCCTAGTTAACCTAATTAATCTAGTTAAGCCTTTAAATGTCACTTTAAGCTGTATAGAAGTGTCTTAAATATCTAGTCAAATATTATTTACTGTCATCATGGCAAATATAAAATAAATCAGTTATTAGAAATGAGTTATTAAAACTATTATGTTTAGAAATGTGTTTAAAAAATCTGCTCTCCATAAAACAGAAAAATAAACAAGCAGTGTAATAAGTCAGGGGGGCTAATAATTCTGACTTCAACTGTATGTATATATATATATATATATATATATATATATATATATATATATATATATATATATATATATATATATATATATATATATATATACATATATATGTTTATTAAAAAATAATTTAAAAAGCTGTCCCCCTACAGCTAAAGAACAAATCTAAAAAGCCTTCTCACAACTGTCCGCTGCTGGTTGGGCAGGAAGACTCGGATGGTGCGGCTGGTTTTGGAGTCGTCTGAAGAGCGGCTCTGGCATGGCGCAGGAGATTTGATCACAGGAGACACGTAGGAGCTTTCAAACACTGAATCTTTGGTTAGCAGCCCGTTGGTGACGGTTCTCCATGCTCCCTGAAGCTGCTCCATTACGACACCCTCTGGCACACGCGTCTGGAGAAACAGCGGTCAGAAACAAAACTGTGACTCTCTGAAAATTGGTCAATTTGTTTATGTTATGCAGGGCAATACTGAATCTGCAGGGGGTTTTTTTTTTGGCCATTTCTGCTGAATTTAGCAAATCTGCAAATTTATGCAGAATTATTTTGAGTGTAGGCGCTGAAAACCTAACACTGTGTCCTAACGATAGGCGACCTGATTCTGCCATGCAAAATTTGCTACGTGTCATGCAAAATTTAAATTTTAGAAAATGTAAAGAGATGACTTTTAATTTTCAAGATATTTAAATACAGTTACAATGTAAAAATGCAGGGTTTCACACAATTCATTCATGTAGTCCCAATACAAATCGATTAAGTCGACTTAACACTTTCAACAAATTTATGTGGATTAAACATAAAAAAAGTTAAGTTGTCCCAATAAAATCTCAAGAATCGTGTTGTTTCAGCTCATTTTAAATAAGTGGTTTGAAAAAGAAGAAAAAAGTTCTGGATAAATCAATTAAGAAAAGCTGAGTAATTCATTAATAGATTGAACATGTTTGAGAAATAATGAATTGAGTCAGAAATTTATGTCAATATATGATATGGACACTGTAAATGCAGGGTTCCACACAATTCCTTTATGTTGTCCCAACACAAATCGATTAAGTGAACCTAAATGTTTCATATTTAATCCACCTAAATTTGTAAAAACACTTAAGTTGTCCCCTACGGAGACCCGAAAGGGACATAGTGGGAGAGAAAAAAAATTGGCTGGGTAAAAAAAAAATGGGTAGAATGAAAAAAATGGGTGAAAGAAAAAAATGGGTGGGAGGAAAATATATATTTTTAAGCTTTTGTGTTCTCTCGCAAAAATGTTTTGCGTTCTCTCGCAAAGATTTTCGTTATCTTGCAAAGATGTTTTGAGTTCCCTCGCAAAACTGTTTCTCCACAAACACTTCCTGTTCACTTTATTAATGTAAACCCTCCCGTTTTTGCCGAAATTCTCCCGTATTTTACCATTCTATCCCACTTTCTTTACATTAAATCTGTGCGTCGATTGTCGCCTTTCATATGCAACATCTGAACCAGTGAATGCATGTATAAGCGCGGACTGACAGACGCGCTCCGCACAATAAACTGATCCCAGCCACCTTTTGTTTTGCAATAAAATACCTGTACACTTTCCATACTTCTGTATTTTACTGCTAACTATTTTAACATTTTTTAAATATTTAAATTCTAGATTTACAGACATTATTTTTGGCACATTATTTAAAATATGTGGCTAAGAAATAGCCATTTTTTATTTATTTATTTATTTATTTATGTGGGGTCAGTGATTTTTTTGGCAGGTCCAGTCGGGCCAATAGAAAATGTCCTTATCGTTGAACCCTGTACACCATCACAATGCACCACCATTTACACTAACATTATTTATTTTCATGCGTCATCAATGATGTCATGTGAAAACAACCTATACATACAATTCTGTAACAACATATAGAGCAAGAGAAACAGTGATTTACACAAAGTAAATAGATTTAGTCCTGTTTTAGTTCTAATTTAGTCTAGGGCTATGCATTATGATAATACATTACATATGGACAAAATAAAATGTCTATTGTTTCATAATATGCTCAATCGTTTATTTCCTTATGTCACAAAATACACTTTACAGTAATACTAGTTCATTGTGAGAAAGTTTGCAATCTTGAAATACAATATTTTGCATCTTATTTAGCAATTTTTTTTATGCTGGACCTGTAATTATTAGTTTTTGAAAAGTGCTTTCATTCATTCATTTTCTTGTCGGCTTTGTCCCTTTACTAATCCGGAGTCGCCACAGCGGATTGAACCGCCAACTTATTCAGCAAGTTTTTATGCTGCGTATGCCCTTCCAGCTGCAACCCATCTCTGGGAAACATCCACACACACACTACGGACAATTTAGCCTACCCAATTCACCTGTACCGCATGTCTTTGGACTGTGGGGGAAACCGGAACACGCGGAGGAAACCCACACGAACGCAAGGAGAACATGCAAACTCCACACAGAAACGCCAACTGAGCCGAGGCTCAAACCAGCGACCTTCTTGCAGTGAGGCGACAGCACTACCTACTGTGCCACTGCTTCACCCAAAAGTGCTTTGTATTTTATTAATATTTATGTACATATTAAATTGGGTAACTAATTATTAGACAGTGAATTTCTGTTTGTTTTGTTTTGGCTAGATTAGGTTCAGTTTTGGCTTTGGTACTAATCTAATGCACAAATATATTATTGTAAAGCATCCTGTAGAACATATTAAATTAAAAGAGACATCCGTGCTCATTTATGCTGAGTATGTATGATCTTAAATATAATAATAATAATAATAATAATAATAATAATAATAATAATAATAATAATAATAATAATAATATAATCACCATCATCATCAATTAGTGTTGAGTCCTGGAGGTTATGAAATCATAAATCACTTCAACTAGTTAACATTTGAATAGAGTTGTACTGACACAGCTGTACTGACAACTATTCACAACTACAGAAACGTTTGGTGTAAACAATGCGTCTTTTTTTCTAGTTTTCAAGTCAAATTATAGTAAAACCACATGAGCTGTCAAAATTACAAGTAGGTTTGTCAAACAAACACACATGTCGCATAACGGAAAATGTGACTGTAGAGTTTCTATTTCGTTAAACAATCTACAACTATATAAACACGTCAGTCTCATGCGCGTTTGATGTTTGACTTGTGTGCAGCGCATATATTCAGTGTGTAGGTTAAGCACAGATAACTGTTTGTGTCTATTCGCAGTGCGCAGAAGCGATTCATAACAAACAGAAGTCTGGAACATACGACATAATCGGAAAGGATGTAAACACTTTACAACTTTAATATTCTCGAGTTAAACATTGCGTGCTTTTAGAAATACAGTAGCTAGGATGAAAAGCTGAAGGAACTGCCGAGCAGCTACTCGGGCTATAAACATCCGCGGCCCTATTTCTTTTCTACTTCAACCTATCAAACAGCACGCTCTGTAAACATTTTACGATATTCTTGTCACTAGGTGAAAAGTAATCAAAACCGACCGTTACGAACCAACATCTTATAATGCTTTTCAGCAGCCATACACACTCACCACAGAAAGTTTGAAGAGTTCATCTCCGCCATAACCTGGAGAAACTACGATGACGTCATCATCCCCCTCTCTCTCACTCACACACACACACACACACACACACATACACCGAGTACAACAACTCAGAATATCAATACATCTGGAAACAAATGAGTTAGCCGGATATGATTTATGCAATATTTTAAAGTGGATTTCTTTACTTTTATTAGGAAGGAAGTATTTATGAGGCAACAACCAAAGCTTTTCTCCAATCTATATTATTAATTAATGCAGCCCAATGAACTGTGCCTCGAGGAACAATACGGTTTATTTGCTGAAGAATTAAACGAATATGCTTATTATTACATTTCTAGGATGATAAAACTTTAATACATAAATTTTGTATGTGTGAAATTTTGGTTTGACCTCTATCGTAAACACTCTTTCCTTCTTTTAGTTGAAAATTTATTTTATTTTATTGTAATTTACTTACCCCTTCCTTTGTTTTGTTAGTCTTTTTTCTTTCTGCAGCTAATGTAGTTTGTATTTTTACTCTTCTGTATCTCTTTTTATATTGACATCCTGATTGTGGTTGTATATTTTCCTTCTTTAATAAAGAATAAAAGTAAAACATACGCAGAGTAATCAATTATTATGACACTTTTTTTGATTCCCCTGTCAATTCTTTAATTCATTGGATGTAGAAATGCTGTACACTAAACTTTGTGTAATTAATTAATTCATTTTTATTTATCTTTGTTTTTTTTTATTTATTCATTTATTTTTACTATTGTTATTTTAGTTTTTTGTTTCATATGCTTTATTTTGTTGTATGTTTGTTCCTGATGATTATGCAATAATTTTTTTTTTTTTAAAAAAACAACACATACACGGAGTACACAGATGACTTTTGTATTTTACATTTTTTGTATATTATTTTGTGTTGAGCTTTCTATGTGTGATACAAAATTTGTAAAGTTGAATGCCATTTTGTTTTATTTGGATTTTGTATTAACAATAAATAAATAATAAAAGAACACACACACACACACACACACAACGATTTTAGTAGTTCATAAAGTTTTACAAACTTAAATGAAACTCATAATTATTACACATTAATTAATTGATTGAATCAATCCAAGGGTTTAGGTTTGCTCTTGACATTGATGGAGACTGGTGAATTCAATCCCCAAATAATATAATATTAATGCTATTAAAATATATATTTAATTAATCCTCTCTTCATACAATTTATTAAATTAAATTGTATGATGTTAAAGGAATGTTTATGAACTGATAAAGAGAGAGTTTAATAAAGACTTCTGTTTATTTTAACTATAGTGCAGATGAAACATGTCTCATATATAATTATTAATGAAAATAGAATGTGATTTAACCCTTTTTGCATGTCTATGTTATATGTGGGGACATTTCAGAAGTCGGTGGATATTGGAGAGGGGTCTGGATGCTGACCTGGTGCAGTGCAATCTGAGCTGCATCCAATGCTTTTTGATGTTCTCACCTAACCCCACCCGTCACAGTGACGTCACTCACTCCACTGAGTGCATTGTCTCTGAGATTGCATCGCTGAGTGATGCAATCTTAGCTTGCATCATAAAGGCTGCATCCAGATACTATTGGGATATTGGTGGGGACTCGTCCCCTCGTTCCATGCTAAATTTACACCCCTGAATCAATCTGAATAAGACATAATGCATATCTAAACGCTCTTAATCATAAATTAATCTTGCAATACATTTTTTAAAATAGGGTATTTATGCTGCTGACTTAAAACGGCACGATTTAATGTACAACTATTAAAATGAACATTTTGATGAATGCACATTTTTAAATACATATTGACTGTGGCAAATGAAATTGTGTAATTTATTGTATTTATAAAAAATAGAAGATAAATTATTTGTCAAGTACTACATAACATGTGAATCTGAGTAATTAATATTATTATTTGTGTTTATTTACAGCCATTTTAATTCGACTAATATATGGACAAATTTGTTAATGCAGTTTGTTGAAATTGTCGAACGGTCCTTGGGCTCTTAAGGTATTAATTTTCGTAATTCGATGCATACAGTAGGCGACACTATGTGGATTTGCTATTTTACCAAGACTGTCCGCTCCTCAGAGCAGGGAAAATGAGCATGCGGAGCTAAAACCAAACCCAACATTGTTTCTGTATTATTACTAAATGCCTAACAGCAAGAACCGGGAGTTGTCTCCTCTTATTGTTTTAAAAGAATAATTCATCCCCAAATAAAAATATACTCTCTATTACAGAGGTAAAGTTAGTTTTATATTCGAATATTCAGACATTCTCCTTAATAATATAACTTCAGAAAAGTATTCTTTGCCAATTCTAAATAGGGAAATCTTATTAGCAGCAAATGACTATCAAAGTACAACAGTGTTCACAGTCAATTAGTGTTAATGTTGTTTACAAGTCATACTTGGATGCTATAGAGGTAAAGTTGGTTTTAAATTCGCACATTCAGACTTTCCCCTTAATAATATAATTTCATAAAAGTATTATTTGCAAACTCTAAACAGTGAAATGATAATAGCAGCCAATGACTATCAAAAGTACAACATTGTTCACAGTTAAATAAACAGTGTTAATGTTGTTTTCAAGTCACACTTGCATGCAAATTCCAATCGAATATTCAAAGTAACATGGTAAACAATATAGAGACCTCTAAATGAACGAATGTGTGAATATAAAACCAACTTAAACTCTATTATGCTAATTCCTATTGAATATTCAAAGTAACATGGTAAACAATATAGAGACTGCTAAATGAATGAATGTGCGAATATAAAACCAGCTTTACCTTTATCTCTCTTTTTTCTCTCCCTCAAGTGGTTCCAAACCTTTATGAGTTTTTTATTCAGTTAAACACAAAAGAATACATTTCGAAGAAAGCTAAAAACCTGTAACAATTGAGCTCCATAGTAGGAAAAACAAATACAAAGGAAGTCAATGGTTTCAGTTTTGCACATCTTCTTTTGTGTTCAACAGAAGAAACTCAAACAGGTTTGAAACAAGTAAAAGTTGAGTAAACAATGACAGATTTTTTAATTTTGGGTGAACTATTCCTTTAAAAGGTAATATGGTGACTAGAAAAAACTTTTTTTATTTACATTACAACAAATAGAAATACAAAACTGATAGAAGTATAGTACAAGCAATGCAAAAATTATTTTTTGCAACAAGAGACATGTATCAATTTTAAAATAAATGTAATAAAGGTAAAGCAAAAGAAAGACAAAGTAACCAAATGAGGGCACATGACAAAAATAAAACAAATTAATGCAGAATATTAAATAAAGCACATGTTTTATAAGTTTTAATTGCTTTCTCGTTGTGAGAGTCTGTGATGGTTTTTAAATACATTTCCAATTCTCGTTTAAAAATGAATAATTTAACTTACATTGAGTATATACAGAGAAAAAGTAGGTTTTATATTGTTTTAAGTTGAATTAAGGAATTGTTTTTCTTTAACATAAAACCCCAAAACAACATGTCAATAGCTTAAAGAAAAATCACCACAAACCTTTTGGACAATTAAAGAATTCACAACAGACCAGAACGATTTAACAAAGGGACATTCCCAAAACCAGTGAGCAACAGATTCAGATGAAGTCTCACAGAAAGAGCAAGACACGTTAATGTCATTTTTTAATTTTGGTAAAAAAAATTTAACTATGTGATGACGTATAGCCTATATTTATGAGGTCCAAGCAACATCCCTAGATGGATAAGCGACTATATGTTATTACTTTAAATTTAAGTACAGTTTTTTTTTTTTTTTTTACTTTTTAAGAACAGTAGCCTATAATTTTTAACTATTAAATTCACTTTTTTTAAAATGCACAGCTTTTTTTATTTCAATGTAAACGTTGACATTTTGTTTGTTTTTTTATTACATATAAGCACATACAGTGTTAATGTTCAAAGTATTTATAATGTTAAAAGCGGATGATGATAATAAATATTCCTAATAACGTTAATAGGAATTAATCTGCCACATTTTTGAACTGTACAGAGCAGTAGCTACTTTAATGGGCTTACAAGGCTGCTGTATTTCAATACTGCTCATTATGGTGGTACTTGAAGAGACCATATTTGTCTGAGGTGGCACTTGGGGAAAAAAGTTTGAGATCCACTGGTCTAAATGACTAGGAAAAACTGATCCCAGACCTGCTGCTGTGGGTTGCTTTAATCCAAAAATAAAAACAGGAAGCAGATACTCAACGCTAGCAAACTGAATAAGAGGCAATTTGTCGAAGTCATTGTTGTTAAAATGATTTGAGATGCCCCTCATAACTAAACTGATAGGTTGTGGTATCTATTTGAACTTAAAATACACACCTAATGCAAAAGTGGTCTGTGAAACAGAGCAATCTATAAGCAGTATGACTACTGCTAAAAAAAAAACTCCATTCTGGGCAGCGGGCACTTTCAACAGTGATGTTTCTTTGGGCAGGACAGTGTGTGTCTTTTCGCCCAGTGATTGGTCAGAAAGGAGGGGTGTCTCCAGGCAGTCCCTCCTCATTGGCTGCCCCGTTCTAAATCGCGATTTCGTATTGGCCACTGTTTCTGTCGCTCAGTGGATTCATGCGCAGTGTCGAAGGGAGGAGTAAACAGCAGTGAGTCACAGCTAACAGGCTAGTGTTCAGCTTTAGGTGAGTTCACATATTGTTGTCTTTAAATTCTCAATTACAACATTGTTTTTGTTCATTTTAAGACGGGGCTCATTTACTTATTTTATACCTTCGTTGATTGTGTTGATTGCATGGTCCGTGTGCGCAGTGAGTGTGTGTAATCGCTTGCGTTCAGCTAGCTGAGGCCTGCTGCAGCTCATGCCTGCGCGGGAAAGTCTCTTATAAGTGCACGTGCACAAATGCATTTCCGAATGTAAAACTCACAGCAAGATATAAAAACGCACACCACGGCAGACTAGTGATGGCATTCGATGTATTTCGTGATACTTTAGTGTAAACGTGCACGAAGAGGCCCAGTGTTGAGGTTTGAGGTCTGGAGCGTTTGCATGTGGATTTCCTTAAACATCAACAAAAACGTAAAATTATAAGAATCTTTCT